AAACACCGGTTTGAATGACTCTGAAACAAGTGAAAAAAAAAAAAATCAATGGCTTGACATGAAAAGTCAGCAAAGTACATAAAGTATAAGTGTTGGAGTTTAAAGCAAAGCACATCTACTATTGTCACAATGATGGTCATTCAGTACTGAGATGGACAGACTGAAACAACAGAGGGATAAAAAGATGCAGAACCAGCCACCAGCGGCCTTCAACTATCTGCAACACCCCCCCCCCCCTATAGATTTTTTTTTTTAACAGAAAAAAATAAACAAACAGGGGGCAGCAATATTTTTTTGAAGAACAATAACACAAAGTAAACTGTTAGTCACTTCTTAAAATGTAGTAATGAAGAAATAAAATAAATGTACTAAACACAATTGGCCCTTCACACAGAACATCCGTTGTAAACCATTTACAAAAATGTCAAAAGCCCTACTGAATATCTTGCTTTTGCATTGAATCTTAACAGTATTCCTTTTTGAAAATGTCACATATATCACAAATCTTTAAACTTCAAAAGAAACTAACTCGTCCATCCGCCAGAAGCAAACAGCACAGTATTTCCCCTGTAACAAAACATACACCATGTGACCTATGACAGTTCTTGCGGTGTGAGTAAGATATAGTACAGCAGTCATACCGCTGATCTCAGTTACTGAGCCCCCAGTGAGCTGTTCAGCAACAGCTGAATACAGAGCTCCACCCAATAACTCAACTGTGCCAGCTGTGCCTCTGTGTATGCATCTCATTGAGAGAGCAGAGCCTGAGTAATTTCCACAGGAAAATCAATAATCAGCACAAAAGATCTAATGCTAAACGTTTGTAGCTGTTGCTGCTGCAGCTACGCCCTGATAATCCCATCTCCGTTTCAAATTTAAGCTTGCCCACATATAACACATATAAAACATACATTGACCACATCATCTACCTTTCTGTCTGTGCTGATGTCAAGATGTGACAGCAGTAACACTATGGCACTGTATTTCACTTTAAGAAGTGAAACCAATTTCATCTACACTGTCTATCATGTTGCAATTAGAATTATTCATTTATCTATTTATCATTTATTCATCTATTTATATATGTATACCTATTTATTCATTAATTTATCTATTTATTCATTTGCTAATTCATTTATTTTTTATCTTTTAATATATATATACCAATTTATTCATTTATGTGTTAACTTTAGTTATTAGATGATATGATAAATTGTTTGATTATTAACTTATCTAAAAAGTATCTGATTTGAGGCTTAACTGAATCACTCACGTGTATTAACACTGCATGCATAGCAGTGAGACCACTGAACAATGTCAACATGAAAATCAATAACTAAGATCAATGACTAACATTTGCTGCTGCTGCTACGCCCATATTATAATCTCCTCTCCGTTTCCAATTACAAACATACCCACATGGCAACAACAACATCTATTTTTTATGTTTCAAAAACAGCGCCACATCTATGTTAATGCCTAGGCTTGGCAACACTATAACAGTGTGACATTTCACATTCCACTTCAGAGAAAACTGTATCGCCCATGCTTTTTGTTTTATAGATATCATTATATTCCATTACTTTTAAAAATCTTTTTCTTATTTATAGGCCTACTTCCATTTAATTACCTGAAGCTTACTGAACATGTATCTCGACTTTTTAAAAATCTTTCCTTGCGTGATAAGTAGTATACAATGAATCTTTCCTTTATTTTATTTACTTGTTTGTTAGCCCGTTTTCAGAATTGTTCTTTCCTTCCTTTTATTTACTTGTTTGCTGGTTTTCAGTAGTTAATCCTTTCAATATTCAGTTTTTAAAATAAACTAATTGATCATTTTGGGTTTTATCTCTAAGCTCATGTGGACTGTTCTGTTACTGCGTATATGTTCAGGGGTAGCACAAAGTCTAGGGAATACCAACTGGAAAAATCAATAACCATAAATGCCAAACATTCGTTGCAGCTGCTGCAAGGTGTGATTAATCTGTCAGGTTTTCAAAATTAAAAATTAAAAACTACCCACAGTGTGGCTTTTAATTGTAGTTACTTTTCTGTAACTATAATTGTAGAAGTTTTACACCTTTATTGATGCTCTTTGGATCATTTAGGAGGCTGGCTGCTTTGACCCTGCCCGGGAGGATACAACATCTCAGAAGAAAGATATAGATAGGCCTACTTGATAAAAATTCCCCCCATAAGGAAATCGAACTCTCATCTCCTTTGTGCGATGGCAAAACGCCTAGCATCTAACCGCTATAACAGACGCTGGTTTACTTTTTCTGAGTTTTAAAACAACATCATACTGATTTACACATTGCGAAAAAACAGCATTATTACACTCCACTTAAGGTGAAATCCATCTATTTGCACATCTTTATTTAATTATTTCATATTTATAGATTGTAAAAACTTCACCTATAACTATAAGTGTGACGTATAGATCTATTTCTATAGGTCTCAAATCCGAGAAGTAACTCATTTTGTCATCCCTTGTCACATATTATACTCAAATAATTCTCCTTTAACCCTACCCGTATGTCCTGTTTTACTATCAAACCATATGACGTGGGGAACTCTGTCCCACCACTTTCCAAAGAGGAAATTTACTCATTAATCCGATCCGTACGCTTTGCATAGCAGTCTGTCAAAATATTTTGAGAAATACTGAAAGTATCAAAAAGATCTTTGAACTAGAAGCATTCTAAAAAGTGAAGAATACAACCCCGGGAGTACAAAATGACCCAAGGGTGTACGGATAGGGTTAAAACCTGTCTAGTTGGACAAACTTAACATGAAAAAGCAAAAACACCATTGCTTCTGACCAACCTTCCCTTTTTATCCACTTTTTTTTTACTTTCTCTAGGTTTTCAACGTTTAATTATAAGACGAAAAATTTCCACCATATATTTTTCAAACGCGTTTAGAGCAACAACAGAAAAATGAGCTCCCAAATGTATACGATATCAATCTCTTTTAGGCATTCTACATAAATAAAATACATGAAGCTTGACTGGTCCATGTCATGCTTGACTGGTAAAATGAATATCGATGAGGTTGGCAATATATTTTTCCCTTGCACGAGCTAAACTGCGTATTTTCACAGTATGTACATTATGCCAATGACATAACTAGTTGCCTTTTGATAGGGAGAGGTAGTTTGGGGGTTTTTTTTGTATGAGCTTAATGGCATTTGCAACACACTTAGGTTGTACAAATGCCAGAGATTAGGTGTGTTACAAGAGAATACCAAACACAAGAAATGACAAGGAGGAGAGAAGATAAGGATGATAGATACTTGATAGAAGGAATGAGCGAACCATACCTCAGCACCCACCAATCACCTACTTGGAGTGGAGAGGTTATGTCCAGCCTATCATCAGTAAAACCTTTTTTTGTGCAGTTTTTTTAAAGTTAAAAGATGCACATAACCACAGTAAACTTCAGCTAGTGAAGGGGGAAAAGCAAGACAGGCTGAAACAACAGCATGAAAAGAAGACATAACAATAACATAAACTGTGGCACCCTCCATTCAACTGCAAGCTTGACCATTGGGAAATGCTGAGTTGCAGTTTACAGAATCAGCTCTATATTATGACTTTAGTTGAGGTTTTATGGAGCTCGCAACTGCATACGGTCATATTAGCGCCAGAAAATTAGAGGTGTTACAAGAGAGTAACAAACATAAAAAAGAAGAAGGGGTGATAAGGACGATAGATGTTTCATAGGAAAGAAGAAGCAAACCACACCAGAGCACCCGCCAACCACCCACGCACAATTGTTTGTTTTAATAAAAAGAATAACATTTGCACAAAAAGAGTCAGTACAGGCTTCACAAACAAGAAATGTTGAAACCAAGAGAAGCCCACATGCTGTGCACATCCACAAGTGGAAGTGGAATTTTTGAATGTTAAAAATGTGGCAAACTTTTCTGTGCTAGAATTGGTCTCATTGGCCATAGCAGAAGCCACAAGTCATCTTCACCTTTAACCCTTCTTATTCTTATATTTTGCTTGAGAAATATTCTCCTCTCTGGATACATTGGTCATTGTCTGACATTTGATGGATGAACTATCAGTGCAGGGAAAAAGCAAGATGGGCAGACGGAAACAACTGAGGAAAAGAAAAGAAGAAAGACCTACCTGTGGCACTCTCCATCCATCCACGCTCTCAGCCCATTTTGTCCCTTTGCATACAAGCTTGTTTTGTTGGTTTTTTGGTTGTTTTTTGTTTAAGTAAGAATTTTGCGGCACTTGCAACACAATTGGATCATATAAGTGCCGAAGATCAAAGTTATTACAAGACAGTCACAAACACACAAAAAAGGTAGAGAGATCAGGATGATTGATGTTTGATTGAAAAGAAGGGTTAAACTACACCAGAGCACCCACCAATCATCAACACACAGGCTTGGAACAGATAGATTAGAATAAAAGTCTCAGAGGAAAGAAGTCATAACATTTCTCAACACGAGCAGCCACGAGCAAACCACAAGAAATGTGAGAGAAGAGGTCTTCTTTTTCCGCTTACCCCTGCCAGAGCTCAGGGGGTAACTGACTGTAAGATCTTCATCTCAGACAGCAGAGATCATATCTAGTCTTATGACCATACGCCAAAATCAAGTATTTGTGTATAAGAGATGTACAAATCCATGCAAACATTCTTTTTCATTTCCTGAGGCTGAAACAATATACAGTATAACACTGATAGCTCACTCGAATTTGTTGGGACCAGCCTCGGCATTTCGAGGGATCTGTAGTTCAAGGGATATCTTGCAAAGATAAAGAGGAAAAAAAAACCCAGAACCGCAGGCACAGTTCAACAGATTCGAGATTTCAAGTCTTCTATGTTCGACCTATCCATGCTATACTGTAATTCCGAATTAAAGAAGGATTTTAAAAAAGGGAAAAGCTTTCACCTAACAATAACATGCACACAAACAGAACAAAGTAAAATTTGAAAGACAGGTTACATATACCAGCAAGAAGTCAACAAGGCCCGAGTCATTTCACACAAAATTTTAATATTAATCATGATTACATTTGTCACTTTCACAATTGTATAGTGGGTACATTTGTGTAGATTAAATAAGCTGTCATAGACAGAAAGCTCCTATGGCAGACACTGACTGAAGACAAAAGAGGGGGTTAGTAATCCACAATATGGGTACAAATCTACTCTCTTGAAAACAAGACAGCCAGCCTTTGTCAAAGGGCACTTGGACTTTTCCATTGTTAGTTCAACATTAAAAACATTCAAACACTTCTCATGGATACCCGAGAATTAAGAAAAGCAAGACATTTTGAGAGTGGACCTCAATCATGTCAGGCACAAAAACAGAAAATATCCACGCAACACATTCTGGAAAATACAAAGTCCAAAACACTTATTTTGCAAAGCAATGCAATCTAGAAACTTTATCACGCAACCTCAAATAAAGCATACTTGCTATCAATCTAAAATGGAAGTGTTCTTTTAAGTGAAAAAGAGAACATTTCTCTTTTGCATCTAAAAATGAAACATATGCATATCAATGGTACTTTTGGAACAATGTATGAACTCACCACATTTTGGGTTATCTGCATTACAAAGATTTTAAATTGAACTGAAAGGTATGGGCTACTTCAGCAGTAGGCTATCAGAAAGCTGAATCTTCCTCATTAATTTATGCTATGTTAAATATCACATAATCCAAAAACAAACAGGAAAAATAAAACAAACAAGAAGAACCAAAACAGAAAACAAAAAATGAATCTTTTCAATTAATAACCAAAATGTTAACTATTAGGAAATATAAAAATCAGCAATGTCTCAAGCAGGGAGCTCAAAATAAAAACATAATATCATTATGATTTTAAGGATTAATTTCCTGGATCGATAACAACATAACAACAACAAGGATTAATTTCATGCTTCACAAGGTTAGTTTTTTTCAATCCCACCAAAATTAAATACAAGATGTCTAGAAAAAAATAGATATTGTCATGCGAGCCTTCTCAGTTATCTGATTATTAACATTTGCAAAAATATATAATATGTGACCCCTTGGATCCTAATGTCATAACATGTTCCTATTTTCCAAAAATGCTCGTTGTTGCTTTTTCTTAATTTACAGTTCCAATAACATGAAGTGAAAGTCTTGGGTAAATTAATTTTAATCAAAAGTTTGAGAGCACAATAAAGTTTAAAATATTGTCATGAACTTGATATAAAAGAAAACCTATGTTTGGACAATGCTTCAATAGCACACTATCACTAAAAGTACACCAATTAATTGAATTGGAGCATAACTTTCAATTATCCATTCAGAAAAAAAATCCAAGGATGTTACAGAAAGGATCAAGCACATCTTAGACATTTGGGTCACAGATGAGTATAGAAAAATAGTCAACAATTGTTTATGTTGAATCTTATAACGAAAGGACTATGAATCAAATCCAGTTCTCTATGACAAACACAGCTTCCTAGTCAATCTCTCATAATAAACTTGCACTGTAAAAGAAACAAAAAGAATAATGTCTGTCCTTCTGAGACTATAACTTAGAGCAATTAATAAAGTAATTTGTGGAGAACTGAAAAGTGTTTGAAATACACCAAAATATAGAATATTCATGAACAAGACCTAAGTAGCCAAATAGGTCTCTACTTTTTGCATCTCAAATGAAAAGAAAATGTTCAGAAATGAGATTGCAAAATCTTGACCAACAAAGAACAAAGTACAAACAAAATCAACAACAATGCGGGTGAGCAATATCACTGGTCAAAACACAACAAAAGCTCAAAACGCATCACTTTTGAGGTTCCGTCGAACACTCCCATTACAGTTTAAGAGTTTTTCTGGGGGATCTTGATGATGACCTGTGAATACAACAAAAACAGTACAAAAATTAGCAATTGAAACATAATTATTTGACTGTATGCATATTATATATTAACAGAATCGATACTAGTGACAACAGTTTCGTTTCATTTAGTGCTAGTTTTTGCTTGTTTATCGGAACTATTCCTGAACCAAGTTTTTTAGTAATGATTAAGCCTTCGTTTCTGCCATTTAAAAGTTGGAGGCAAGATTTTGGGGTTATAATAAGACATAGTGTTCAAGGTTTAGGTGACTGAAGAAAAAACTTCGGGGAAACAGTGGACTCAAGAGTTTAAAGAGTTTTTAAAAAACACATAACGTTTCCAACATATGAGGATCATGATTTACTGAATTAACATGAAATCCTATTTTCATATTGTCAGCCAAACCAAACAAAAGAACAACCAAAAAAGTCAGATCAAAATATCTGTTACGGAAACAAATAGTACCAAGAGTAAATTTTTCTTTCTCAGACCCTGATATTTAACAGTGGCAGTGAATATAAAAAATCAGGACCATAGGGACGTTGTTTACAGTGACACTTAATTCAATAGAAGCAAGCAGCTGCTCCCAGCAACTAAAGTTTCTTCCCAAAATGACGAGAGACCACTCTTAGTAACTGGTGTAATGCACACAGATCATATAAAGTCACTTTCTAATGATAATAATAAATAATAAATGACATTTATATAGACCCAAAAAACCATGAATGCCAATAAAACTTTGCATAAAGCTTCAAAGGGAAGCTATTCTTGTTTTTTCATCATGGTTGTTCTTTTTTTTTTAGTCGAAGTATAAAGTGAAAGTAGCGTAGCCTAGATGAAAACACAATGACGTTGTTGCACCCTAGAAGTTTCATGAGTATCTAATGCTATTTGCAAACCAGCATATTACACCGGCAACATTTCTTACAGAGAGAGAGTACTACATCTGATCTAAGAAGTAAGTAATGTCACTATTAAATCTAGGTCTACTTTAAGGCACACACGCAATGGTGAAAAGACGATAGTTCTCAGTTAACAGTCAATACAGAGCAACCAGCATTGTCTAGACTTGATCATCTTTCTTTCATATCAACGTTGTTTCAACCTGAATAGATTTATCTACAAAGATACAAAATTTCCCCTTCTTAAAGTTAAAGGCATATGAACTAAGCATGACATTCACCTACAACGATGGCAAAATTTGGTGTTTGGATAATTTTAACACCTCCTCAGTGTGCACATTTTTCTTTTATCTGGTTTACAGAGTGAAATGTTCAACTGTGTATTGTATGAATTTACTTCAATATAAATAAATGAATGTAGTAAATATACCTTTACTACATTAATTTCTCTTCTATTTGATGTGCATTTTTGTATAAAATATAAGCCATCCATCCTCAGTTTAAACATGGCTTTAAAAGAGAAATAAAAAAAACAGTCATAAAAAATCCTTGTTTGCCGTATCCTGATTCGAAACAAGAGACTGACAGCAAAGAACATAGGAACAGAAAGGAAAATGGATGTCTCTTACCGATTTCACCTCTGTGTACGCCTCAATGCCATACTCTCCAAGCTCACGGCCCTGGCCAGACATTTTGTAGCCACCAAATGGCATGGCAGTGTCAAAGGCATTGTGGCAATTCACCCTGCAGATACACATAAAAAACAACAACACATTATTAGAACTATACTACAGTCTATTTTCCCAAAAGGATACCTCACACATAATAGCATTCTTAAACATTATACAATATTATACAAACATTTTCATGAAAGTGTTGACAGTAGAATCAGAGCCTTGTTCCCCTTCAAGTAAAAATAGCAGCGTCATTTCTCAAAATGCTTCTAAGTAAACATTTTTTTAAAATGATTAGTTTAAACTAGTTTAACACTTTGCTTCCTTTTAGCAACTCATATCCTGTGAATGCACATTACCAAAAAAAAAAAGAAATACAATGCAGGAAATCAATTTTCACCAAATTACTGTTGATACTTTTTTCAATCCTAAACCATTACTTTCGTTCAACAAAAAGAACTTTGGATTTTTTTTTCAGTAAAACGATTCACTGTGAAACAAGTTTTAAAATGCTACTGTTGAAAACCATATCCGTTATACAAGTAGTACTAGAAATACAGTCATGTATGTATCAAAACTGGCACAAAGCAATGTTCCAAGGAAGCTCCTGAGATCAAGTGGAGGATCAATGACGGATAACAGACGAAGGGAAAATACAGACCGACAATTGCGTCCAATTCATTCGACTCACATGAGCCTCTAAAAATAAATTCTAAATGTTTTTGCTCTTTCTTTTGTTAAATCTCAGATGGAGAGAGAGAGAGAGAGAGGGGAAGGGAGGGGGAGAGAGAGAGGGGGGGAGGGATGGAGAAGGGGAGGGAGAGAGAGAGAGGGGGAGGGATGGAGAGAGGGAGGGAGAGAGAGAGGGGGAGGGAGGGGAAGACAGAGAGAGAGAGAGAGAGAGAGGGAGAGAGAGAGAGAGAGAGAGAGAGAGAGAGAGAGAGAGAGAGAGAGAGAGAGAGAGAGAGAGAGAGAGAGAGAGAGAGAGAGAGAGAGAGAGAGAGAGAGAGAGAGAGAGAGAAAAGTACACAATCTCAGATAGCTACTTTATTTTCAAAAAATTATGAAGTTCACGAAAAATCCAAGACTCACCAAACAGTTCCAGCCCTTAGACTGTTGGCCAGGAAGAGAGCTCTGTCTATGTCCTGTGTGTAGACAGAGGCAGCCAGACCGTAGATGGTGTTGTGGGCCCTCTCAAGCAGGTCAGAGTCATTCTTGAACTTCATGATTTGCATGACTGGTCCAAAGATCTAGAGCAAAGAGCAAAACAGAAAGGAAAAACTAGAAAGGTAAAGACAGCATTTCAAACTGATTTTCTACAACAATATAAAAATTCTCCTTTGTAAAAGAACACAAATTTGTATATTTTCAGGAAGGTCTAGTAAAACTATTGACTAAGTAAGGAAGCCAACAGTGCAAATAAAAAGTAACAGTTCCTCTTTTTAGCAAAATGATGTTGTAGTCAAGGCATAAACTCTAAATTTCAATAACGAGAAAACACTGCACAAAGAAGTTCAAAACAAGATTTTGTTGATGGTATAAGCAGCAAGAAAAGTTTGAACATTTCCAGAAATTCAAAATAAAGGTCCTTTTCTCGGAGAAAGAAACACCCGGCTTGCTCATTTTAGAAACATCACATCATGATGTGATAGATGCTTAGATTACAACCATAGCCCAATAGCAACACTGACTTTGAAATAATGTCACTGCTGTCTAAAAGAAATAATTTCCAAGAGAATTTCACTTTGAACAAAACTTTAACCTTATATGAGAAGTTTTGAAATGTCTTCGACCAGCTTAAACCATTAATAATAATAATATCAACAAAAATAATAATAATAATAATAATAATAATAATAATAACAATAAAGATCATTTGTTTAGCACACATCCCCACTCGACAACAAGCTCTATATGCTTTACACTATACTATTACCCCAGCAGACCCTAAAACACTACGAAACATTCTCAGCTTCCCAGGAAGCATACAGTGCGCTCAGACACAAACAACCTGACAAGATCTTTCACTGTGTACAGCCGGGTATCCATTTCCACCTGGGTGAAGTGAGGAAAATTTGGGTAAAGTGCCTTTCCCAAGGGCAAAACGTCAGGCCCTTAACAGGGTTTGAACCTACAAACTTACAGTCATGAGTCCAAGAGCCTAATCACAAGGCCACAAATGATGATATAATGATAACCAAAAAAAAGACAGCCACCTACCTCCTCCTTGGCAATCCTCATGTCATCCTGCACATCGGCAAAGACAGTAGGAGCAACAAAGTAGCCTTTGTCACCAACGCGACTTCCACCCACTGTCATTTTGGCACCCTGTTTCTTCCCGCTATCAATCAGCTCAAGAATTTTGCCCATCTGATCAGCATCAACCTGAGAAAACAAAACATTTGATAATTGACAACAGCATTCCCAAGAGGAAGAAAAACACACTCCCATTCGCCATCAAACACATTTATCACACAAGAGTACAAAAAAGCTGAAAAATGTGTCTGGAATTCTAAGGTATCGAATAAGCTCACCCCCCTCTCCCCACTCCCCTGCTTATTAATTTATTAGTTTTTTTGCGCCTGCAAAAAAAAAAAAAGAAAATCATTAGTAACACATTCTTATCTTATATCAAATACCTGTGACCCAAAAGAAAATAAAAAAGAATTAAAATGAAAAATATTACAAACGTATTCTTATTTTCTATCAAATACCTGTGGACCCTGGTCAACATCGGTAAACGGGTTCCCAATGGTGCGGTTCTTGGCCTTCTCTGTGGCCAGTTCCACAAAGTCGTCGTAGACTTTCTCCTCCACAAACACACGAGAGCCGGCCGTACAGCACTGGCCCTGGTTGAAGAACAGACCCAAGTGTGTGCTGTCCACCACGTTCTCCACTGATCGCAGCAAGAGCAGTGTAGAAGGAAACAAAAACATGTTACAGATGGAAGGGGGGGATGTTTGGTTTTGTTTATTTTTTAATTAATTTTTTTTTTTTGGGGGGGGCGGGGGAGCATTAGAAGAGAGTAGAAAATGAAGAAGGCAAACAGAAAACAAATGAATAGAAGAGATGGACCTACCAGTAGTCTCTCCGACCACACTGGGAGTTCAAATATTTTTTAAAGACTTTTTTGGAGGTGGTTCATTAGAAGTGAGAGGATAAATCAAGATTTAAAAAAACAAAACAAAAGCAGATAGATAGATAAGATGGACCTACCAGAAGTGCCCTCCAACCACACATGGGAGGAGGGGGGTACAAATTTAACACTAACACCTTACAAGACAAGGACTACTTCATTCCAATGTTACACAGAGTTCTGGGCAGAGAAGAAATATCATTTCTGGAAGGAAAATAATCTATCTAGGAATGCTGATAACCATGGGTAATGTATATGTTTATTTAATAAGGAAGAAATTAGTCTGGTAGTCTGGATTTAAGTAGGAAGAAAACTTGAAACTACACACATTTTGGCAAAATACTACAATGTAAAACAAAAAGAAAAAAAGCAATGCTTTATATTTTTTTAAAATCTTGTCATTTAAGAAGTAGTACCTACCAGAGACTCCAGACCCTACAACTACCTCTCTCTGAAAAATTGGCCACTGCGGTGAAAGCAGTTGGATTGTTGTTTTTTTATGTAAATAATTTTACTCTCAAATCAACACAATTTAGATCATTTAGGAGGCGTGCTTTCGACCCTGCCTATCAGGGCCAGCCTGGACTGCAAGAACTACAATATCCTAGCAGAAAGACCAAATAACTTGAAAAATATTTCTCCCCACAGAGGAATCAAACTCAGGTCTCCTGCATGCTACAGCAAGGCACTCAACAGCTACACCAGAACACCGGTAAATTAGTTATAATAATAATAATAATTGATTTAGCGCTCTATCCCAAACGAGTATAAGCTCTGAGCGCTTAACATCAATCACATGATCATTGAGCGTAATACTTCATTCACACAAGATAAAACATTAGAATTGACATCCCATAAAAATCTAGCCAGAGAATAAATACTCATAGAACAAAAGCAGATCTCAATTGCTCATATATATATATATATATATATATCAATCATATAAATGTTGTAATGCTGACTTACTATTACTGTCTGAGTAGACAATCTGGGGGCTCTTTCCGCCCAGTTCCAAGGTGACCCTCTTCAGGTTAGTTCTGGCCGCCATTTGAGGGATGAGCTGTCCAATCTGAGGAGAGAAGACAATATTATATCAGACCTGCTAACCCCTCTTTGACATAAAAAAAGGAGTTTTCCTCAAAATCCCACAAACAAATAATCTGGGCAAAAAAAATCGGGGGTCTCCAGAGCACCATAAGATTAAGATTATGTAACAAACTGACAGTGGCAAATTAATGTGCATTGCAAATACACTGTCTATGACAAGGTACCCATTCCCACCTGGGTGATGTAAGGAAAATTCGTGTAAAATGCCTTTCTCAAGGACACAACATCCGGCCTGGGCTTGAACCCCCAAACCCGCAACCTCATAATTACGAGTCCAGTAGCCTAAAAACTAGACTACTGATAACAAACTATGACCTCCACATAGAATAATAATGTGACAGAGCTGATATTTTTACACCCTTGAAATCATTATGCTCAATAATACGTTGATAAAACTCAGGGAGGTATTGATTCCAACATAGCTGCTTTGCAGATTTCTTGGACTTTAAATCTGTAATTTACAAGCTGAATTATCATTTTTAGAGCGTGTATCTCTAGTATTTTTGAGTGTGTATCGCAATGCTAGGGGAAAAAAAAAAATTCTCAGAAGACCTGAAAATGGAATCTCTAATGAGCAAAGGAACAAAGAAAAGTAATGTACCTCAGTGGAACCTGTGAAAGCAACTTTGTCTACGTCCATGTGCTCTGCGATGGCAGCACCAGCTGTTGGTCCAAAGCCAGGGACAACATTCACAACACCTGGCGGGTAGCCAGCCTGAGGAAGAAAAAGCATTTAGGATTTTTTTTTAAAATTGCAATTTTCTTAATGTGATATCACAATGCTTCCACCAGCTGAAGCTGAAAAGTAAGGAAAATTCTGCAGGGGGTCTGGGGGCCACAGAGGCCCCCAGCAGGGTCCAGGGACAGCGTCCCGGTGGGGGTTCAGGGGCGAAGCCCCCGTAGAAATAGAAATTTAGTGCTTTTAGAGGGTAGAAAATTGGCATTTGGGAGCCTGTTTGAAGATATTGCCTACAGCCCATAATATTCATTTTTCACCAACATTTTGTCTTGTTAGACTTCATCGCCAGCATATCTTTCCAATGTTGGAAATGTTTAAAAGCAGGTTCCCCTTTCATTGCTACTATAATTCAATTAATTTGTAGTCGCACCATTGACAGCAGGCAAACCTGGGAATAATGAATAGATGTACCTTCAAAATACGGTTGCGCAGCGTATACCCACATTTTTTCTAAATTTTCATGTCTGAATGTCGCCTGTCACAACCTCGGAACACCACTTCGAATTATTCTTGATTTTATACGCGGTGCTCACTATGGACGTGATCGGCCGATCGGGCCGATTGCCCGACTCGATTGCCTCAAAAACAAACATGTTCGTTTTTTAGTTTCAAAGCAAACACGGTTGTTCGACCGAGTCGGGCGATCAGCGCAATCTGCCGATCCCATCCGTAGTGGGCAAGACCGTATCAGCATATTCTTTCATCCCGGCCCTTATATTGCGTTCACGTGCCGTAGAATCTTCGCATTGATAATTTCTCTAGATCTAGATAAAATTTGCTAAAAAAGTTTCTTTCCGACAGCAATTTTCTGTCTAAGATTAAAATCAGTCTTGATCAACGCGCAGATTTTCTAGCCGCGGCAACAATCCGAAGATAGACGGAAGGAATGAGTGAATGACAGAAAGGAGGAAATTGGCACAAAAGGTTCGCCAGATTTTGATCCATCTGCAGGTAAAAAATGTACTGCCGACCAACACGCAATGAATGCATGGGACTGGGACATAGCGGTAAAATGTCCGATTGCAGGAAATGCGCAATTTGGCAGGTTTCTATAACGTTAACTTGTTGCCGAGAGAATTACCGTAAATATCCGTACCTTATACAAGACGATACGAAGGCCAGTACGGAATTTCGGCAATCCTGCACTGTCGCAGTTTTTACGGAGGGAGTAGATAATGATGGAGGGACAAGTACGGAAGAGTGGAAGCACTGTATCAGTTGAAAGTACTCAAGAAATATTTTGTTAAACTTCAAATATCGAATGTTGTAAAATGCAATAAAAGATACACAATGTAGACACAATTGTTATATGAAAGAAAGTTGTTTTTTTTTTCTCTCCTGAAAAATTTAATTTTCTGAGATTAGTACACTTGAACAGCTTGCCAACACTATTGAAAATCAAGAGCCAAATAAGGTTCAATTTGCAAGACATATAAATGCAGTCTGAAAACTTTCAACACTTGACTTTAAATGACAAAATGTTTCAGGCCTTCTGATTAGTTAATATTAATATGCTGATGTGAATCTCTCTACTCAAATGAACAGATTATTTAGGAGGTACAAATCCCAACAGAAAATCTGCGGTATGTGATAAAGAATTGTCCAAACGTGAAATCAAACTCATGTATTTAAACTCACAGGCAGGGAACTTATCGAAAACACCACAGACATCAATAGAATCTTTCATCCCAGGGAGTGAAACATGTTTATACACATTTTCACAAATTTTTTTTCCACTATATCAAGAGAGAATCTTCACATTCCTATTCTGAAATAAAATATTGAGTAAAAAAAAGTTTGAAGAAAATTCTTTCACTGAATCAAGAGAGAACTTTCACATTACTATTTTGAAATCTACCTGACGCTTTCCACAATCACAAAAAAAAGGCAAAAGCCAGCTCACCTCAGCAGCCAGTTGAGCAATGTACAGAGCAGTCAGAGGGGTTTGTTCCGCAGGTTTCATCACAACTGTGTTACCCATGGCCAGAGCAGGGCCAAGCTTCCAGGCTTGCATCAGAAGAGGGAAGTTCCACTGCAGAAAATGCATAGTTGAATCAAATTTGCCTCATCCTTATCTTGGAGATAGACAAAAACTGTATATAGTCAGGTAAATAACTTTAACCTTTAAAAACACTTTTTTTTAGAAGTTCAGTCCCACCCACTGGCCAACAACAGTGGAAACAATTTTAAAAAAAACCAATGTAGGTAGTCTATTTGGTCGCTTTTACGGTCAAGCGGGCTAACCCAGATTTCGGTGGTTTCCAGAAATCTTGATCTACACCAAAAGTGGGCATTGCCCTACCTATAGGAGAAATTTGGTTTCATTGGTATGTAAATTTGTTTTGTTATAGAGAAAACTCTCCTTGTCTTTTAAAGAAACTGAATAAGGATCCAAAAACTTTTCCTTCGATTTTCTCAAAACAGCATTTTTCGGGATAGTCCCCTTGTGCTTAAAAGCGACCATTTAAAAAAGACAAAAGACAAAGCAATATGAATGACATCGTGACAAAATTAGGTGCTTGTCAAAATAATTAAATCAAAGAAAATGAAATTTTTCCGCCTGTTCGGAAATTTGATTTGATTTTTTTGTTTTGGGCTCAATACCTTTTAAGCTCTTGTCTGTATGAATTTTACCAAAAATATGTTGACCAAGGCGCAAACAAACGTAAATTTGCAGTTTCCAAGGACACCAAGGCTTTGGAAGTCACCAAAATTTGGCGGCCAATTTCTCGCTAATTTTACCTCATCCCCCCTTCCTCAGTCGCAAATACCTCGACTTCTATTCAAGTTAGATGGATATTTTTATCATCAAAAGTAAGACAAAGGAACAGGTTTTAAGATTATATAACCTCATGATTCAATCCAATCGAGATAGAAGATGTTAAATCCCCTTTCTTACATAGAAGATCATACCACTACAACCTCTACATTCACTTTTTAAAGTTTTTAACTTCCATTGAATTTTGAAATTCATTCAACAGTGACCATATAGTTTTGTTTTTTTAACATTTTTACGGCACTTGCAACACAAATAAGTCAGGTAAATGCCAGAGATCTTAGGAGTGTTACTTGAGAATAACATACACAGAAAAGAAGGAGGAGAGAGAAGACAGAAAGATGTTAGAATTTTTAATAGATTAGGAGAGAAGTAAACCACACTAGAGCACCCATCCACCATCCTAAACAATGACTGGTACGAACATACATAACACTCACAGGAATGATCTGTCCACAGACACCCACAGGCTCATGGCGAACGTAGGAGAAAAAGTTCCCATCTGTAAGGAAAAACAAAAATTCATACAAATTATTTTAGGCTCATTTTGTCTTGACAAATAGTCAGGGCAGCAGAATAGTCATGTATGATGTATGGTGCTTCGTTTTTTCCTGAAGGAAAAGAATGATTGAAAATGCGAAAAAGAAAAGTATTTCACCAGTTAAACGGACACAGTACGATTTCTGTGTCTTCCCCTTCTCATTAAAAACAATCCATGTAATTCTTTTTGCAGCTCTTCTCATGATTGATCCGACCTTTGTTTTATAAACAACTGCGCTACAAAATCTGCATTTACAGAAACTCTTAAAAAGCTGTGGTAGGTTTTCCTTTCTTTTTAACTCTGAATTATACTCTTCCTCTACCCAATTTTCAGTGATAAAAACTTTTCAAATGGTGTTTAGTGCTTATTCAACATGTCCAGAAAAATAAAATTTGACTGCTCAGTAGGCACCACGTCTATGGAAAAAACAAAATTTGCACTATGAATGTCCCAAAATACAGGATCTTCGAAGGCAACTTCTTCCTCCCATTTCTACCACAGACAATACTGCAACAAAAAACAACTTTTGAAGACCTCCATCTTTTCTAATTATGGCATAGGGCTGAAGGGTACAAGCTTGAAGGCTACTGGATTAACAGCAATAACAATGACAACAACTGTTGAACTGGCTACACATTTTCTTCTCAGTATCAAAGCAGTTTGTTGCAAAACAGAAAATTGGTTCAAACTGGAAAACACAATAGCTTCAAATCATAAGTCTGCACAAAGCACCTACCCATTGGTACCACTTTGCCTCCATTTTTATTGGCCCATCCAGCATGATATCTGAAACAAGACAGGTCTTTCAGCTTTTTTTTTTTGTTGCTTTTTTTGTACAAGTGTTATGGCACTTGCAACACAATAAGGTCTAATAAGTGCCTTGATCTTTGTGCATTAAATCAATTTTGAAAAGCAAATAAAAATAAAACTTTCATTTTAAAAAAAGAAGAAATTCAAAACAAAGAATATCAAAGAAGATTTCATATTGAAAAAAAACAAAGAATATCAAAGAAGATTTCATATTGAAAAAAAACCAGTAGTTAAATAAATGTATAGCGGATTTGTTATTGAATACAGAAATTACACCTCTCATGACAGATGGACAGACAAATGCAAATATACACACAAACAGTTTTTTTTTATAATTTATGATAAAGAGAAACACACTGACAAAATAGAAGTCATTAAGTGTTGCCAAAATGTAAGACAGACAGACAGACAGAAACAACACAGTGGTTGTAAAAAAACAGAACCTATGCCCTGCAATCATCTCATACACACAGAGAACTCTATATGGCAACAAAAAACAGTAGGACATGGACATGATGATAAATTGTCCTTGCTGGTGAGTTTTAGTTTTAGTAAGTTTTCTACGCCACTTGCAACACAATACGCTCATATAAGTGCAGAAGATTAGAGGTGTTACAAGAGAACAACAAACACAAAAAAGAAGGAGGGGAGATAAAGACGATAGATGTTTGATAGGAAAGAAAAAGCAAACCACACCAGAGCACCCGCCAACCACCCACTTGCTGGTGAGGTAACACATGTATGCAACAAAAACAAAAACCAGGTGAAAGGTTCAAATTTTCGGCCTGTATTCATGTTTCATTCTGATCCCTTTAAAGGCTAACAGTTTAATCAAATCCCCCTGAAGAGTTTGGCTTAAAACATTCCTGTCCTCCTAATACTGGCACAAACTACAAATTACCAACTGTCACTGGTTGTATACTTGAAAATAAGAATAGGATCAAGCAACAGTTATAACAGTTTATTGCTGGCTTACGTTACTCGTCTGTTCTTGCCAAAAGAGGGCTCTGGGGTATGGGTTTGTTTAGTTCAAAGATTTAAAAACAAAAAATTATATTATAAAGAAAAAACTTTTCCAAGGTCCTATTTGTCCGATGCTTTGAAGAATCATTCTTCTGTTGTAAATTACTAAAGCCATTGATGAAATGCATTTTATGGATAAAGGCCAAAGAATTAAAAAACAGATGACTTTAGAAATGTTTTTAAAAAAGCAAGCTATGAACTGAACAGGACACTGAAGACTCATTACACCCAGCCTTTTTAAAAGAAAATAAAGAGGGGCCTGAAAGAATACAACAACAAAATATCAGGTATCGGAGAGAATCCACTAGCAATTGGAAAAGACGTAATATACGTAAATGTATTTGTGCCAACTTAACTGTATTCTATATATGCATCACAACTTGGTGGAATCAGGTGCTCGTCAATTTTTGGGCATGTGCAGTTATTAGTATCAACTGAAAGATTGTTTATTTATTTTGCTTTCAAAGAAAAAAATTATCTATTTTTCTTGAATAGAAGTCAAGACATTTGCAATTGAAGGAGGTGAGCATTGCCTTGTTTACTGTCGTTGTAAGGGAAAACGACGAATGGTCAAAATTTTTCAATTTCAACATCATAGAGTATTTAATTCTGCACCTGACGTATAAAATTTGTTGTCGTATCCTAATCCGCTGTTACGTAATTTCTCCCCTTATGTAGGCCAACTCTGGGCCGGAGTGCAGTGTAAGGGAAAACAATAAATGGTCAATCCGTCAAGGATCACTGCTCATTCGGCATCATCCCCTGGTCTCTGCCGTCAGCCAAATTCAGAATGGGCGACAAATGGCAGTTGGTCACTGTTGCGGCAATACAAAGATACTAGTCCTTTTTTGCACAAAAAACATCCCCCTCCCCTCCCCCCGAGCACAATCGACCAGGATTATAAATATGTATCACTTTACAGTTGGGATATGGGTTATGGAAGAAAAGATATTATGATACATGGGAAACAAGTAGCAAGAGATGGGACACAGAAGATGGGACTGATAACAAGTGTACGATAATAGCTGTAATGCACAAGGACAGCCTGTGAACCAAGACAGAGGGAAAATGATAGGAATAGATAATTCTATAATAACGAACACCTAACTTTACACGTATAATAGCTAGAGTGTGTACGTCTTATTTTTTATTTGTAACAACCTGTAAGCGGTCATCAATGTCGACATTACATCAAATCTGATTATCGCCTACGCCCATAACAATTCACGAGTGTAAGGGAGAACGACGAACCGCACTATTCATTGTTTTTGCGTAGATCACAAGGCCCACTTGCGGCTGCGTAGTATAAGGGAGAACGACGAATGTTGAATAACTTTGCTTCTTTTCAACTCTAAACAATTTTAACTTTTGAAACAGCTTTATGAACACCTTAAATAACCACATCTCTGGTGAATTATAGCTTAAAAGAATAAAAAAATAGAAGAGTTATAAAATAAAAAACGATTTTTGCCTCCCCTGAAAAATTTGCCTTGCTACCTGCACAGGACCATTCATCGTTTTCCCTTACCACGGACGTTAAGAGGTAAAATTAGTGAGAAAATAGCCACCAAAGTTTGGTGACTTGCAAAGCTTGGAAGCCCTTGGAAACTGCAGCTTTACAATTTTTGTGCCTTTGACCTGCTTTTTTTCCGTAAAATGCACACATAATAAATGTGTTTTTAAATGAACATTAAAAGTGTTGAGCCAAAAAAAAAAACTTTCGAAAAAAAAATTGCCCAACGACCACAGAAATAGATTTCTTTGCGTTCATTTTTTTGACGACCGCCTGATTCCACCACGCTGCCTCACATGTCTTACTCTCCGCATCCATACCTCCCTCTCCTTTTTCATCCACCCATCTGTCCTTCTCTCCCTAGCTTCAAGGTGCAGATGTTAGAGATTTAATACAACTTACATCCATACCGTTCCTACATCCACAACATACTGACGCGCCATTTAAGCATGAAAATCAGTAACAATCACCTGTAGCACTTGATGGCCAGTTCCACATCGACTGCAAAGGCTGCACTGAAAGGTTTGCCATTGTCAAGGGTTTCTAGGGACTGTAAATATATGCAAATGAAGTGAAAACTAGCTTTATAAATAAATTTGGGAAAGAATATGAAAAAGCGAAAACCAGGCCGAAAATGAAATGAAATTTTTAAAAAGACAGTAGGAATAAATGAACGTTTGAAGAAAGAAAAACAAAAATTGTTGAGAGAAAAAGAGAGGAGGAAATAATATATACAGAAACAACTTACAGCAATGTAGTTTCTGTCTCTTTCAATGAGATCTGCCAGCCTGAGCATCAGATTTTGTCTCTCTGTTGCGTCCGTTGTGCGCCATGGAGATCCCAAGCGGAAAGCTTCATTCGCTGCTTTAACTGCTTTGTCAACATCCGCCTGATTAGAAAGATAGGAGCAATATGCCAAGGAAGGACAAAATGATTCAATACCAATATAGGGAACTAAATTATTTGTTAAGGATCTGAAGTCCGAGGGGTATTCAGTCAGTCTGTAACCTGACTACGAACAAGGCATACGCTAGAAAGTTGAAATTTAACACTCACAGTGCTACTTTTCTTCAGAGTCAACCTCCAAATAAAGACACTATTGCCATCTTTGTCCTTGAACATAATATGACCTTGGATGGGACTTGAACCACTTCACTATTACAGAAATCCGATATCAGATATATATATATTAGTAATTAGTACCTTCATCACTGAAACCCTGTCCTTTGACTTTGAGAATTTTTTCAGATTTGAGAAAAGGAAAAAGTCAGAATTTTAAAAAACTCGACACACAGTACTCCAGAAAGATAGAAATCACATTCTACAAGTTTCATTGTACGACAATTCCTTCATAATAAGGGTAAATACTTATTGAATGCCCCTTGTATTACAAATGGCCATTCAATGGGTGAATTCTTTTTTATGCTGAAGGCACCTTAGAAAATTGATCGACTTCCTTTGATTTGGTCTGGTTCAATCTGGGTGTTTTATGCAAACAGTTACTACTGACATTTGATGATAACTTATCCTTCTGCACTCTCTCTTCTCGGAAAACTAACCTTGGTTGAACTGAAGATGTCTCCAGTTTGAGTGTCAAAGATCATACTTACAAAAATATTGCAGTCTGAAAGCCAAGTAAATGGAATTAACTATGGGTCAGAATATCAGAATGAAATGTACAGTAAATACATTTAGTTGTGTGTATCCTACAGACAAAAAAGCCATGTAGTGCCATTGCCCTATCAGTCAAATACTCTGATGTTCTATAGGACAATAGAATATATTTGTAATTTTGCAATTTTAACAACATTCAAATCTGAAAAAAAAAATTCATACTATCTTTCCGAAATATATTATTATGTAGTATACATTTTCTGCTTAGAACTCTTAGATGAATATCGAATATGCCTTGATAGAAACATTACCGTAGTGATTTAAGTTTACAGTCATAGGCTATACATTAGATGACCAGTGCTTTCGATCAATAGGTATACAGTTACATATTCCATCAGATACAGCTTTGTCATAGGCTTTCCTTCACTGATGGTGAAATGTCTCTGTACATTTTACTTTTCTTTTTTTTTTTTTTTTGGTATGTGTTTTACGGCGCTCGCAACTGTATAAGGTCATATGAGCACGCGGGACACACCTAGTACTTTTAGTTGGTAGGAAATTTTGAATTTTGCTCGGGTGGCGGCCGAAGCCTACTCTTATCGATTTTAGACCACCAAGGGATCTTTAATGTGCGCAACTTGCACACGGGCCCTCCGAGATTTTCGCCCTTGTCCGAGAAGGCTAGGTGTAAATCTTTCCTACCAGAAGATCAGGGATGTGGCAGAAACACAGCTGTAAGAAGGAGTCAAGGAGTAGCAGTAGAAAGGCTGCAGAAAGAGTCAGGAGCCCAGAGGAGGGCAAAGGAGGTGAGGGGGTGGGGGCAGAAAGAGGAGACGAAAGCAGACAACAGAATATTGCTAGAGAGCAGGAAAGGAGGTGAAAGAAGACAATTTTAGAGAAGAAAATTTTTAGGTCGCTACCCTGATTCGAACCCGGGACCTTTGAATGAAAGGCCAACACCTTAACCTCTAGGCCACGAGAGCCCCCACATTTCCTCTAACAATCAGTTCCCAGATTAAATTTTCGTAAAGGATTTTGCATCGGTCCCACTCTGATGATCTTTGAAAATGTTACCTAGTAAGTAAGTGTATGGGATTAAAGCCCCAATCAAGACTTAGGTTATTTAAGAGGCAAGACCTTCATATTAAATGTCTTTCTCCAACGTTACCAAGCTAAATAGGCTTACAGCCTTGAAAACTCCACAATACACCCTAAGTTCAAGAACGCTCAGTCTGGGATTCTAACTAGGGCCATCCACTCTACAGTCCACCATGATACCAGCTGAGCTAATGGAACACCTAACACTATCATCAGACATGTAAAAAGAGTATATGTTGTTGTTGTTATCGACCCAGCAACAGCTGGGCTCTCACCCTTTTGTCCAATGCCATGTAGTGATAAGTGCAGGTTTGCTGCATTTGCTGTAATGTTCCTTAGAGTGTGTTGTTATTGTCAGGTCTCAGAGAGAGAAGTGTAGCTCTATTCAGGGCTGTGCAGTGGAACAGGTGATGATCCAGTCTCACATGTACAGTCACACAAAGGACACATTGGAGGAAGTTCAGGTTTTATCCTGTTCAAGTGGAAGTTGAGCTGTATATGTTCTGTTCGTAGGCGGAAGATTATGGTCTGTTTCTTTCTCTGTAGGTGGTTGATATTGTCATTTCATTTTATGGTAGACATATGTTTGAAAACTGCTCTGTCTGTCTTTCCCAAGGCCTATCTGTTCATCCAATCTTGTTTATTGTTGCTTTAAATTATTTGTATTGCAGTGTTGTATGAAGCTGGAATGATGGGTTGTTCCTGCCTAGATCCCCTTTTAGCAAGTGCTCTGTCATTTCCAGGCATGTTTGAGTGTCCAGGGACCAACTGCATCACCAGGTTGATGCCACAGAATGTTATCAGATGATGGGAGCAAAACAGTATATAAAATCTTGGTTTAGATGATGGTCATTTTCTACTGCTTGCTAGGGATGGGCAGATACCGGTACCCAGTACCGGAACTCCGGTTCTACCGAAGGAGGTGTCAGTACCGGTTCCTGGCCTCCAGTACCGGCTCTGGGAAGGAGCCGACACCAACGGTTAGTACCGGCTCTGGGAAGGAGCCGACACCTAGACGCTCAGAGGAGACCGACACCAGCGGGTTTTTTTAACTGGGCCACGGGAAGTGTGCTGTGTGTAGGCCTAGGCCATGGCCTAGCAGCTGTGACGTCAGATGCACACAACGCAGCGGGTGACCTTGATACAGGACTTTAGATTTAAAATTGACAATCAGAAATAAAGTTTGCTAAAATTTAAATATGGCATCAAATCAGGTCCCCCGCGAGCCACTTGGTGTATTTTGATACGCTGATTCCGAAATTGAAAACAATTTTTAGCGGCGATAATTATTTTTAAAATTCTGCATGCAGAGTCTTTTCCCGCGCGGCGGCAAACTTCAAAGGTATTTTGCGTCACAGTTTGTCTCTCAAATTCTGACGTGTGTACG